CAACTGTTGACATCTAATGGATGCATTAGACACAATAGTTGTTAGCTCCCAAACGACCCATAGTTAGTCCATTGAGAAAAACTATGGCGTCTCCTTAATAATGTACTAAGGGAAGCTCTAATTAGATAAAAAAAGCTTCGGCGTAGTCGTACCCTCTTCCCGAAAATGAGGCTGGAAACCACCAAGGAATAACTTGGATATCTTCTAACTTAAAGTCATCCGATCAACTGTTGATATCTAATGGATGCATTAGACACAATAGTTGTTAGCTTCCAAACGACCCATAGTTAGTCATTGAGAAAAACTATGGCGTCTCCTTAATAATATACTAAGGGAAGCTTTCATTAGATGAAAAACTTCGACGTAGTCGTACCCTCTTCTCGAGAATGAGGCTGGAAACCACCAAGAAATAGCTTGGATACCTTCCGACTTAAAGTCAATAGATCAACCGTTGACAAATGGATCTCAAAATATAAACAAACTATGTGACGTAAAAAACCTTGCTATTGATTCGCAGTACTATTCTTGCACGTGGTATGACAAGAGATCTGTTTATTTATTTATTAACTGTCTAATTTATTTTTAGACCGAAAAAAAATTATATACGTATACTGTACCATAAATTATTCGTCCATTTTAAGCATGTGACTTGAACTTGGAGGAATATAATAACAACGATCAGTTAGATGATGTTTATGCATGCATTACAGTAGCGGTAGTATAATCGTTACTTTTTTTAAATACAGTATATACGTAACTTGCGACGATCAAATTTTGCGACGTATATCGATATTAATTTTGCGCGATACATATTAACTTTGATACATAAATATAAAAGCAAAAAAATATTGTGAAAAGCAAGAAAATTAATATAAAAAAATACCTAATACTTAATAGGCATTCCATCTGCATCTATTACCATATGTACTCTTTTAGACATTTATTTAATAGATTTTTCAATGAATTTTTTTTTTCAAGTTTTATCCATTCTTTTTGAATTATAATAAATAAGTCTTCTTTGTTCTTTGCTCTTGAATTTTGCTTTTCCAAATTCATTTTCAACTCATGTCAGATATTTTCAATATGAATCAGATCAGATGATTGTGGTGGCCATCTTAAAGTTTTTATATTGTGTTTTTTTTTCCATTGACAAGAATATTTTGATTTATAAATAGGTGTATTATCTTTCATAAAAAAATTTTTTTATCATATTTTTCAAGAAATAGAAGAAAATATTTATTAAGTACTTTACAATACTTGATAGAATTAATAGATCCTTCTGGAAATATAATAAGTGATCCAAGTTTTTTATTAATAAAACATTCCCAAAACATAATGCTAATATAATTACTCTTAAAACTAGATTTTATATAGTCTGCATGAAATCTTTCATACACTCTTCTCCATACTAATTCCTGTTTAGAACTTGTTCCTCATACTTCAATTAAAAATTCATCACTCTATAAAATTTTTTTCCAATCATTAATCGTTTAATCCAAATGTTTATTGTATCATATTATTCTTTTAATTGCATTAACAAAACTAATATATGGCTTGAATACAGCATGATAAAACTTAATTCTTATATCTTTCATTGCTTTATGAATAGCTTTGTCATAAACATTTAAATTAAGAGATTCTATAATTTTTTTTAAAATAAAACTTCTTAATTGAAAATTCTTTAATACTTTATTTTGAATTTTTTCTTTGTCTTAATTATTAAAAATTTCTTAATAACTAGATCTTAATTAATTTTTAACTATTCCTATTGCATTATACTTCTTAATAATACTTTGAACAGTTGTATATAGAAGGGATGGCTCAAAAGAATTGATAATTTTATATTGAGACATTCCAATTTTATGATAAATAATAACTTGCATATAGATTTTATTATCCTATTCACAAGTTTTTTTTCTGATTTTGGATATAATAGGTAATAGTAAAAAAACAGACACTAATACTAATATTATTACTTTTTAAATATATCAATACATAATAGATTTAATAAATCTAACTACATGCTATTGCTATTGTAATATATATGTAAATATTGTCTAAGTGATTGTTGCTATTATATTTTGCAAGTTCAGATCACATGCTTAAAAATAGACGAATAATTTATAGTAACGATTGTATTGTCCATCTATCAAATTCTTAATTATCTGATTTAAACAATTTGATGGTTCCAGAAAACAATTGGCCAAGAAAAAAACCAAACTGTACCTTTTATTTTATAAATTAAAAAAGTAATTTGAAAAACAACAAGATAATTCACAAGTTAACTATTAATATTTTTTTTATACTTTACAGTTTTTAGTTAGATATCACATTCAAAAAACACAAACATTATATTTTTTTTTTGCAAAATGCCTTGAAATATTGTCTCAAATAACAATAAATATAAGAGAAAGGCATAGTATTATAATATAGAAGATATAGAAGAGGTTATATATAATTATAAACAGTATAGTATTATAATATTATTAAATAAAGTAACTATTTCAAAGGTAAATAAACCATTTAAATTTGATTGGTAAGATCTTGTACAGAAAACATTATAATAAACTAATTATAAATATAAAGAAATTCACAAAAAGCAGTAAATACTCTTATTTTAAGTATAAGATACAGTACAAATGAAAAGTATTGCAATTGAAATACAATAGTTTAAACTTATCTTTTTAAAATATTTAAAATTTAAAATATTAATAATATTTATTCTATAGAATATCTAGATTAAATAATATATTTATATAATATCTAAGACTCAAGTTAAATAGTAAATAATTATTATTAATCTTATTTAACTTATTTGAATCATAAAATAATTTGATATTATATTAATTATTGTATTAATTAATATTTATTATTTGTTATTATTTATTTTTATCTTTTATTACATGTATATAATCTTTAAAAGATTAATAAAATTAGATATATTTTTTTTTACTGCGAATGAGCATTAAATGCGAGACTTTATTGAATTATAAAAAATTTCTGTTATTATATTAAACATCCATTTAAGTTAATGTTAGCCTATCACATATACAACTACTAGTTCCTAAAAAACATTACATGAGTGAAAAAAATTTGTAATGGTCTATGAATAACTAATGCTCATCCATAAACAGCCAAATTAATGTGGTCGTTAGTGAAAATTTTATAAACTTGGGTTTTGGCTATGCTGTTTGGATCCATAAAACTATAATGGCAGCTTTTAGAAATAATATGTTGTTAATTGAGTTTTGGTTTTGTTGTTTGGACCTGTGAAACCATAAGGCAACTGTTTAAGAGCTGAGTAAAACATGTGAAAAGTCCAGTATTTTCATATGCCTATAATGTTAGAATAGTTGTTATACTGATTAGAAAAGCCGTTGGGATATTGTGATATAAAATTGTTGTTGTTATTGTTACAAACAGATTTGAGCCAGTTTGATTGTCATTTTGTTAAATTGCTAGTGTTTGATTGGTTGTTAAATATACATTGATCATTTGGAGGGGTGGAATTGATTTTGGTTTTTGAGAATGATTAAGTTTTTGTGAAAAATAGATTGGTGCAGCATTGTATGTCAAGTGATAGATATTTGAGAAGGTTTGATTAAAACAAGCATTAGACCCAGTAACTTTGCTTAAGTGTGACTTTAGGATTAAATTTACGATAGTGAGAAATAATAGGAAGATAATAATAATGGCATATAGATAAAAAAAGGCACATAAAGACAGAGTTATAAAGGAAAACTGCCACAGGCTTTTCCCATGCAAACAAAAAACAAACAAGACTCCCAAACTTGCTTGGCCTTTGCCCAGAGATCCCATCCAATGCAACAGTGGTCCTTAAAGTCCTTATGTCCTTAAGCTTATAGCATAGATAGTATATTGAGAGAGTGAAAAGCGCTTCTTCAAAGAAAATTACTATAAAAGGAAATTTTCAAAGAATCAATGATGAACATATGAAAGTTTTTTTTTTTTTTGATTAGATAAAATTGGATATATTATATTATACTATATATTATTATTTTATTATTTATATAAAGAAAAGTTTTTTTTTTTTGAGAAATAATAAACTGTTTAGTTTTTTTCTAATTTAATAAAGTTTTTCTTTATTAATTATAAATAATAACTTGTTTATAACATGAAATAGTATATCTAATATATACAATCAATCCTGTCTAAATGAATATAGTTGATAGACAAATTTAATATTCATTTATACAGAATATTTAAATATACAGGTTCCAAAATAATTGTCATGTGATTGGTTTATATAAGTGTATTTGATATCTACTATAAGTATATTAATTTAAATTTAATAATTACAAAACTTATTAATTTATTTTTATATAATTTTATTTTAAA